GCTTGTGTGCTACGTTCTTACCTCTGACCTGCGTGCTGTCTTTTCTTTGTTTGTTATTTGGTTTTGTGTTAGATGGCTTGTGTGCCAAGATTTATGGGAGCATGTGTCCCTTACTTTCTTACTTTCTTTACGACAGTCTGTGTGCCTCATGTGATATACAATCTGTTTGTTGTCTTAGCGGGGTTGATATGTCCATGTTCTACCATTATGCTATTAGATTTTCAGGTACTGATTGAAAGACTTGAGTTTATTAGAGGATTCTGCACACATATTTCTGCATTTATTATTACAATTTTTTTTTTTTTTTTTTTTTTTTTTTTTTTTTTTTTTTTTTTGGGTTAGATTTGGACCTTGTTTGACTTGAACCTTTTTTATTAGTTTCCATTTTTTAGTCTTGGACCTCTTTTTTCGTTTTGGGTCCATTTAATTTATTTTTTCCTTAGTCTAGTATGGATCTCTTCTTTAGGCTTAAGTTTGTTTTATCACTTTTGGATAATTATTTGTAAGATACTTATTTTGCTAGGCAAATTATGTCGTGGAACCGTGTCAACTTTGCAAGGTGAACACGGTTCTAAAATTGTTCATAATTATGTATATATAGTTCAAAAATTATAAATATATAGTTTTATAATTATGAACATATAGTTGTGAACATAATTATGAACATATAATTCTGTAATTATGAATATAGAGATTCAATAATTGTGAATATGAAGTTAAAAAATTATGAATATATAACTTTATTATTATGAACATATAATTCAGTAATTATTAACATAGAATTCTGTAATTGTGAATATAGAGCTCAATAATTATGAATATGAAGTTAAAAAATTATGAATATGTAATTTTATAATTATTAACATATAGTTCACTGATTATGAATATAGAATCGTGTCCACCTTACAAGGTGGACACGGTTCCATATCATAACGATCCATTTTGCTAGGTTAATAAAGTTCTTATTTTGCGAATAAAAAAACATATTCATTATTATAATTTTTTTTGAAACACACTATTACATTTGTTAAACTTTATACGAAGTAATACATATGACATGACATTATATCCTAAAGGAAAAAGGGTCAAATAAGTCCCTAAACATTATCTAAGAAGTCAGTTAGGCCTTTGAACTTTCAAAATGTGTAATTAAGCCCTTAAATATATTATTTTAGAGTAAAGAAGCCCAACAACTGATTAATGACCTACAATTATAGGTCAAAAGGGTTCCGACGAACCTCCGACGAGATTTCGACAAAAAAATCGACGAAACATTCGCCGATGTAATTTGGCTGCCTTCTTTGACGAAGGAGAAAGCAGACCAAATGCTTTGGTCACCCTTCTCCGGCAACTTGAGAGCCAGTTGCCGGAGAAGCCTTCTCCTGTGAAGGAGAAGGGTTGCCTTTTCCTTCGCGGGATTTGGTTTGCGAAGGAGAAGGGTTGCCTTCTCCTTCGCCGGAGAAGGCATGCAAATCCCACCGGCGAACATTTCGTCGTTTTTTGTCGGAATCTCACCGAAATTCTTTTGACCTATAATTGTAGGTCACCAACTGGTTTTTGGGCCTTTTTATTTTAAAATAATATGTTGAAGGGCTTAATTACACATTTGAAAGTTCAAGGGCCTAATTGACTTCTTGAGTAATGTTTATGGGTTTATTTGACCATTTTCCCTATCCTAAATAATAAATAAATAAAAAATAATTTAGGAACATAAATAAATTATATTAAATTATTTACACCCTCTTAGACTTGCACAGAACTACAAAGTCCATTTCTAATTTACCCCATGTACATTTTTTTTTTTTTTTTGTTGTGACAAAACCCGATGTACATTTTTATGTCTGCAAATTTCCGATCCCAAGTCACCTCAAGTAGATAATTTGTCAATAATTAAGGATTCCTCAAGGTGTTCATAAGGTAATGCTCAAGTCCGCTAGCTATTTATGCCTTTATACTGCTTGCTTTTATGCCAACAAGAACGTAACCTAGCATCGCATGCATTGATTGTCTGGAGATTGAAACATCAACGTGGCATAAGTTGAGAAGTTGTGCCAACATTCACCGAACAATAATCTTTCTCGCCATGGCTGAAATCACCTTGTTCGTTGTAATCAAATTTTCTGGAAAATGCAGGCATTTTGGGAGCAGGCAGAGTTGTTTCACTCTTCAGCATCGAGTCAACTTCCAACATGGATGGCCTGTCTTCCCATTTCTCCTGGACGCATAGCAGACCCACTTGCAGGCATCTTATCAGTTTGCACGATGACAACTTGTCGTCCAACGACGGATCCATAAACTCCATGCCGCTGTTAGTTTTCCACTTCTCATACGCCTGAAATTAAAGGTTCGTAACTTCGTATGAATATGTCAGTTTCAATTCTGAGATTCCTGTTCAAATGAAAACTTTGTGGACTAGACTTTCAAATCACTATAACTTACATATTCTAGAAGATTTAGATTCTTATCAGTGCCGTATAGATATGCATTCTTCTTGCCACTTATGATTTGCAGTAGCAGAACTCCAAAGCTATAAACATCATATTTTCTGGAGTATACACCTCCTTTAACATACTCTGGTGGGACACAACCACTAAAGTGCAAAACAGAAACACAGTAAGAAGGGAAAACTGGTATTTTGCTCTGCTTTCATGTGGGGTTGAAAGAGTTTCTTTACTTACTATGTCCCAACAATTCGTCCCGTGTTTGCTTGATTGTCTTCCTTCTGGAAAATCTTAGCTATACCAAAGTCGGATATTTTTGGTTTCATCTCATTATCCAGTAAGATATTGCTAGCTTTCAAGTCCCTATGAATCACTGTAAATGCTGAGTATTCTTGGAGATATAGAAGCCCTTGAGTAACCCCTTCAATAATCCCAACTCTTTTCTCCCAGTCTAACTGCATCTGTCTAGCAGGTTCTGCATTGAATAATCAAACAAGTGAGTTTAATTTGTTCTGAAATGATTGACATTGAATAATTCTTATGTTAAATTAGTCAGAGATTATAGACCATAGAGGTAGAAATCCAGGCTCTTATTAGGCATGTATTCATATATGAGCATCTTCTCTTCTCCCTCAGTGCAGAAGCCCAAAATTCTTAACAGATTGACATGCTGTAATTTCACTGCAAGTGTAACTTCGTTTTGGAACTCCTCCACCCCTTGTTTAGAGCTTTCAGAAAGCCGTTTTACTGCAATTTCCTGTCCATTGGGTAATTTCCCCTGGATAAATAATATGCAGGATTAGTAGGTTGAAGTCAACACAAACTATTTTGGCACTTGGCTGTGTAGATGATGAGCAGTGATGCTGTTGGTTAGATCCATTCTTATCCACATACATAAAAATGATAATGGATATAGTTCAATAAAAAGTGCAAATCGATTTAGAGTTTCTACATTTCAGATTTCAATGCTGAGCTAGCAATATATTTCTTCAAAGATTAATTACCTTAAAAACAGGTCCAAATCCACCCTCACCGAGCATGTTTTGATACGAGAAACTGTCCGTGGCTGCTTGCATTTGAGCAAAAGTGAAAGCTTGAAGGTTAGGATCCACTGATCTTTGATTTAATTTTCTGTTCCCTGTAATTGATCAAAATTCACAAATTATTGATCTTACATTTTGAAGTTGTTGAAACTAGATACTGCCAAAGTTCTTGAGCAGTTGCCTTTTGATCTTTTGGTTTTCCTTGCCACACAATATATTGCTATGCATAGCAGGAAAGCAGCCAGTGTGCCTGCTGGCAATAAAATTGCCAATTTACTTTTCTTTTTGTCATGCCTATCTTCTTCTGTGCCCTGAGCTGCAAAAATAATCACCATTCTAAGAGCATATTGATAGATAAGTCCAGGGCTTTGTAGTTTCTAATATTGTTCTCAATGAATGCCATTTTCCCTAGGTGGAAGAAGAATGCAAACATTCAAAGTTTGTGCAATCCATGACATCAGAAACATAATGGCTAACCTGCTCGGGAGAGCGACCAATTGTCATCATCATTAGGAACTTGAAATACAGTGTAACCAAGAAGCCCCTTCTCCTTTGCATAGGAAACTTTAGTTTTGATAGCCTCGACATCATCGTACCCAATCCAAAACGATTCAACAGTAATGTAGTTCATCACATAAGTAGAGTTGTATATTGGTGTAACTTTGTAGCTACTAATGTAGAACTTTATATACCTATAGCTCATAGACCCATCTGCTGTTATAGCCAAACCTTTTGCAGGTGATCCTAGAGTGTTGTCTTTGGGGTTCACCAGTGTCCATGCATAGCCATGGAATGGCAGACCAATGGTTAGTTTGTTAGCAGGGAATCTTTTGTTGATCCATTCTTTTATACCATAATCAGTGTTTAACTTGCTGAATGGATCATACAAAGCAGCATGTGCTCCTGTAAAGTTATCTTTTGTAGGCAAATAATAGTCATATGACCTGAGATGAATCCAATCAAAGTTCCTAACAATGGAATCTACAGGATAAGCCATGGCATCTAATACTGGAGAGTAGTATGCTCCCATTGTCAAGATGAGGCGCGGCGTGCCAGAACTCTCTGACTCAGAGTTTATGGCTGCTCTCCACTCATCCATGAAAGTTGCCATATTTGAATCAGTGTTAGGAATCACACCATAAAGGTCCAGGCCATGAAATCCGTATTCCCTGGCTGCTTTTATTGAGGTTTTGATAAAAGATTTCCTGTTGGAAGAGTGATTTAGCATTGAGAAGAAGTTTGGTGACTCCTCCCTCCCTGCCCAGATTGACAGTATTGTTTTGAGTGATGGATTCTTTTGGGTGACAATATGTGTGAAGGTTGAGACATAGGGTTCATCAGAGTGGGCTATACGGAGCTCATAGCTAGAAGAATTGATGTATGCAAAGGCAAACACAAGGTGTGTGTATAAAGCAGAATTGATTTCTGGAACCGGAAACTCGCTGCCAGCATACCAGAACCCAGACTGGATCCAAGTAGCTTTTGCTGTTAAAGTACTGAAAGAGAAATTGAACAAGAAGAAGATGATGAGGAGGAAGGGAGACATTAATACCAGGAAGCCAATATTGTTTTCTTCAATTCTCTGCCGACAATCAAAAGTACGTAGTATTCTTCCCTAGCTGCGCTCAGCATTTGTCTCTCACTTTTACGTAATTTCTGTCTTGATCAATAGTCATGATCACCTATCAATAGTCTAAATATAATACACGTTTCGAGACAAGAAAAATAACGAATCACTACGCAATCAAACAATACATATATATTGACTATGGTGACATTTGTTTGAAAGCCGCCATTGGGGATGCTACGTGTTCTGAAAGCTAAGATGACATGTGTTGCAAATAATTCTCATTTGTTTTTTGGTTTATCCATACATACCTTCATTTATTTATTTTAAAAAAATGAAATTTATGATGTACCTTTTTGCTAATTTTTTATTCTGAATACTGTGTAAATATATAAAGAAAAAAAATAATGGGTGTTTAATTTAGTGATGATGAGAACGAAGCAACATGGGAGTTGTTTGCATCGTCTAATTCTAATTCCATATTTCCATCTATTGTTTTCCCAGGCCAGAGCTCCTCAATCTCATCGAGCGGAGAAAAATAGGCCAGGGCGCGGCCGGAATTGTGAAAAAGAAAATTAAAAAGACGAAATATAATCTTTGATAGATAGATGTTCCCAATTAGGTAAGGTTTATTATGATATCGATGAGCCGGCCGGAGGTTGTTTGTTAAATGCTGCATGCGTTGAGAGTGGTCGGGCATGGGGAACGTGACGTCAAACGTGGCTGCAAAGTTTGCATTTTTCCCACCAGACCCACCCACGTACGAGGTGTTCAAAGACGAGGCGGAAGGGAGGCTGTGTTTCAGCGGGCTGTCGGCCGACAAGGATGTGGACGTGCATTTGCTGAATACTCAGGCGGGCAACAAGATTGTCGCAACCTTCTGGAGACACCCTTTTGCCAGATTCACCATTTTATACTCTCATGGCAATGCTGCGGATTTGGGCCAGATGATGGAGCTTTTCATTGAGCTCAGAGCTCACCTCCGTGTCAATATCATGAGGTACGCTATATATACATACTTGCATAGTTGCATTCATTCTCTCATCTTCTTCTGCATGTTTTTAAATTTTCCCGGCCCCAATTTTATCTTTAAATTCACAATATAAATATAATGTTGTTTCTTTATTAATATAATGTACCTCGCTCAAACCAAAGGAAATATATGGGTATGTCGCATTATTGAAATCTTCTTCTGTTAATCAGGGGACATATATAGTTTTTTGTGGTTTTCATATATATGGTTCAGCAAGCATCGTATATAATATATATGTCATTATTATCATATATATATAACCCCCTTGGTATATATGGGCAGCTAGAGATTTAATTAATTGTCTGATAAAATGATGTTTACTGCTTTAATTAATTTGCAGCTATGATTATTCTGGGTATGGAAGATCTTGTGGAAAGGTAAGAATACATTTAACATTGGAATGATGATGATGATTATTTGCTTGTTTAGATGTATCATTGTTGAGGATGGAAGTAAGTAGGTTTTAATTTAATTTGATCAGCCAACCGAGTTGAACACATACTATGACATAGAAGCTGTCCTAAGTTGTTTGAAGAGTGAATACGAAATCAAGACTGAGGACATGATTCTATATGGGCAGTCTGTGGGAAGTGGGCCCACATTACACTTAGCATCTTGTTTGCAGAGGTTGAGAGCAGTTGTTCTTCACAGTGCTATACTTTCTGGAATTAGAGTCCTATTCCCAGTCAAGACCACATTGTGGTTCGACATTTTCAAAGTGAGCTTTTCACATTCAATTCATTTCATTTCTGCAGCTTAACATCCAGTCGTGTCTGTAAAGGTTGGATCTTTAATTTCTTCTTTAATTTGCAGAATATAGACAAGATCCGGCAAGTCAGCTGCCCAGTTTTAGTAATCCATGTAAGAAACAAACCTAGCTAGCTAATGAATATATATAATCCTGTTTTGTGAGTGACAATAATAATTATCATTAGCTCTCTTCTGCAGAAAGTATAATAATAAGAGATGGAAATTGCAGGGTACAGCTGATGAAGTGGTGGATTTCTCGCATGGGAAGCGATTGTGGGAGCTGTCGAAAGAGAAATTTGATCCACTGTGGATACAAGATGGAGGGCACTGCAACCTGGAGACCTTCCCTGAGTACATCATACACCTCAGGAAATTCATAAATGCAATGGAAAAGCATTCTGTGTCGAAGCGATGCCAGGCCGAGCTTACTCAATCCCTCAGTATAACTGAAGCCAAACGCACCAACAGATGTTGGTTAATCAGATTCGGGAAAAGATAAATTAAACCCCTACCTTTGCTCTGAACTCTGATCTCATGATCCATACAAGCTAAGGAATTATTGATTTAGATGTTGTTTGGTTGAATTTGCAGATCAGATCAGAGCAACTTAACATACACAGTATGTAGGTTTTTCTGCGTGGCAGTGTGTGCGTTCAATCATCACAAAACCGCCCATATGGTCGGAATTAACCTAAATTAAACTAGGAATGTTAAATTAATCTTGTATGGATGTGTACCCAAAATCCTAGTATATATGTACATGCGACTAGTTAAACCTGTCTTTTCACATGTATATATTATGTATACTGAAGTTATCTTTACTTTAACTCTTGTATATGGAAACTAAGAAAATTACTACTAAAAATTTTCTTAAAGTAGTTCTATTCTATCTCCAAGCATATTCTAATATATATATTCAGATGGATTGACTTATTACCATATATTCTTAAAGAAAATTACTAAAAAACAATATATATAAGTAAACAACCTTAAATACTAAATTGAAGGAGAATAATATCAATGCATGCATGCACTACACATATCTCATGGTATCGTTTCATTATCTTGAATAAAGTAGTGCTATAGTATAATTAAAATGAAGAATAGCTATGCATGCATCCCCTCAGCTCTTCCAATAATATTATTTCTTTTTAGTTTTTTCCTGTACCATTACATAATATATGACATTATAGAAGATGCCATTAAAAATAATACGGAGTATATAATATATAATATATCTATGCATGGTATGGCCACGCAAAAGTCAAAATGTAAAGGGATTCAAAGCACCAAAGTTTGGCAGCAGCATTAATGCATTATATTGCATATTATATTTTATGATTATATATTATATCCTATATAATTCGTATGTATGTAAATTTTACTTAAACATAAGTAATGTTGTAATGAAGTTCCAATATGTAGACGAGAGTTGCATTTGACTCATAATATAATGATGATGGAGTTAGTAATAAATTAATAATAGAGTTCTACCGCATAGACTTTCAAATTATATTCTCGTCTCTACATTTATTCATTGACATGACAAATATTGATAGGTTATCTTTATGCTATGGATCTCAATAAAGATGTTTATATCAAAAATTTGTGTGAGGAAGTAAAAAGTAGGAATAGATTTTGAGAGTCCAAGTAGTATATTTTTCTATAATTAGTAGAAAAGGGATTGATATGATGGTGGAGTGCAATCATGTTTGTTATCATTGTGGAATTTATTTTGTTTTATTTTATTTTTGTGTTCACATACAAATTAAGGAGTCGTTTACTAAATTGGAAAAATGGAGAATTTTCTGAAAAAATGGAGAATTGGAGAAGTGGAAAAATGGAAAATGGAGAACTTGTTTACTAAATTTATGTTTCCAATTTTTATCTCATCTCCATTCTTCTACTTCCTATACAATTTTGGAGAAAGAAAAAAAACACATTCTCCAAATGGAGAGATGGAAACGCGTGAACAGTACTAATGCCCGAGGTCTCGGTATCGAATCCTGCGCGCAATAAATACGTTTGATATTTAAAACTCAAAGCTACCTTTTCACTTCCACTTTTGTTGCTTCCTGTGCGTGCCCCTTTTTTATTATTATTATTATTATTATTATTATTATTATTATTATTATTGTTGTTATTATTATCTTTTTCTTTTTCTCTTTCTTTTTCCATTTTCCTCCTTATATACACAAATTTGCTGTTATTATTATTAAATTATTACTATTATTATTATTATTATTATTATTATTATTATTATTATTATTATTATTATTATTATTATTATTATTATTATTATCTTTGTTGTAGAAATGTACAAATACTATATGGGATGATTATTTTGAATAAAATAGAAAATTAGAAAAATAAAAAATTGGAGGAATGGAGAAATAGAAAAATGGAAGAATGGAGAAGGAAAACTAGAGAAATGGAAGAATGAAAAACTGGAAATGGAAAAACAGAGAAATGAAGTAAACGACCCCTAAATGTTTTCCTACTTGAGTACGTCCCACTAGAAGATATCTAAATATTTTTCACACTATAGAGATGGAACCTCAAATGGAGCATGACTAGATGGATCCAGGACCCTATTTATAACAATCCCCCCCCCCCCCCCCCCTTTGGCTGTCTACATGTCCCACTACTCAGACACCACTCCCTCGTTTGTCGCACAGCAGTCCACACTTTCGCCACGAACCGACGTCCCCACCTTCTTCTCCCGCGCACCCCCGCGATGGGGTGCTAGGCCCGCGCCCAGCTGCGCACCGGGCGCGCTAGGCACGCTACCGCGGGCTGGGGCCAGCGCCCCCGTGCGACGCCCGCATCCAGCCGTGCACGGTGCGCTAATCACACCACCGGGCGCGCTAGCCGCGCCGGGCAAGGGCGCACCGCCCGATCCGATTTCGCCCGTCGCCGGCGACACCCCAAACCACCTCCCGTTCACCAGCCCCCTTCCAGTCCATGCTCTTCACCCAGCCCACCATGCATGCTTGTCTTCCTAGCCCAACAAGACTTGGGCCAACCTCCTTCTTTCACCACCACCACTTGGACCAATACTTTTCCAATAAAATGGACCCCTAGGATCCCATATCCCCATCAGTGTTTTCTGTACACATGCACCATTTGCACATCCTCCCGCTATTAAGACACCACTTGCACTTAGAAATAAAATTGACTGATTGACAACATGATTATAGGACATGCCCTCCTCTTAGCACACTCATTAAATAGCCAAATCTGAATCCGTCTTGATCACACAACAAAAATCTTACACCTATAAAATAACTAAATTTCATGTAGTTTAGTGCACTCAAAAGTACTATTATAGGTATGCAACCATATGTTTAATTTTTAATTATTTTAGATTAAAAAAAAAAAAAAACAAACAAAAGGACCGTCGAGTTTAATTGAATGTTGTATGGACTATGGAGCAAAAGGTTAAGGACTTAAGGGGTCGTCACAAATTGGTCGGGGACCAATTGTAAACATAGTCAAACAACAAAGGTTGACTTTGACGAAATGGAATCTTGGTAACCGACGGTGGATGTGTATGGTACGAGGACGCATCTGATACTTAAGATAATGCCGACAGTACCTATTCATTAATTCATTGCACTGCTACATTTTGGTACTTTTCATACTTGTCAAAGATCTTTTAATATATCAAAGCATTATCGGATATCCATTTCTTTTACACACGTTTTGCTACTTTTCATACTAATGTTAATCACCAACATTGCTTTTAAATCCCAGATATATTTAGGTGCTACATACGATGTTACATATTTAGTAAATATACTAAAAAGCTTTAATTTGTTACGTTGATTTTATTATCGAATCACAATGTAATTATCAAGAATATAGATAAGATTGCGAACTACATTACTAAATCATCATCAGTCTTGCATGGACGTGGCGTGCATGCATGAGAATGGTGGTGGCTCAGCTCCTTTGATTTGTTTAGGGAGGATTTGAATTGTGTCATCTCACTTAAGAGAATCTCTTATTATGTGTACCATCAAAACTTAAAGAAAAAACATTGGACAATTGACATAACGAAAAGAATAAACGAAGAACTTTATTAGTTTATTTATTGAATGTGAAGAATAAGATATTTACAGAATGCAAAAGAAAAATGAATAACTCAGAGTAAGTTGGTCTTTATATACATGTCAGGTTATTACAAAACAAAATAACCACGTACTCCTAACAAATTTCAATAATAAACTAACTTGGTTGGCGTGAGTGATTGTGCAATCGTTATGCTGTGCATCCGTATGCACCATGCATGGTGCATATGGATGCCAAAACGACGTCGTTTTATTAAAAAACACGCGTCTCTCATTTAAAAAAATTCAGGTTCGATTCCCAGCAACAACATTATATTGTTCATTCATTCTGGAATTTTAGTTCATAGATTATGGAATTATAGTTCATTGATTATGGAATTATAGTTCATCGATTATGGAATTGTAGTTCATCGATTCTGAAATTTCAGTTTATAGATTATGGAATTTTAGTTCATTCATTCTGGAATTTTTAGCTCATAGATTAGATTATGGAATTATAGTTCATCGATTATGGAATTTTAGTTCATATGTTGTTGCTGAGAATCGAACTTGATTTTTTTTAAGGGAAGACGCGCGTTTTATTAAAACGACGTCGTTTTTGCATCCGTATGCACCATGCATGGTGCATACGGATGCACAACATAATTTGCCGTGATTGTGCACTCTCCTCCCTTAAGACAGGTTAGAAGTTCAATTCGAACCAATATAACTAGCACTTTACCCCTTAATTGAATCAACCCAGTGCGAAATGGTATAGGCCTGTTCAAGACACCTCATCAGGACCTTAAGTTGTTAGTGGTGTTGTTGTTGTTTATGTACTTTTCTTTGTGTTAAATCAAATTCGCTTAATTTAGCTTGTAAATCCTTATCGCTCAAAGAAATATATATATACTTTATGGGTTTGGTTTTTTGTTCTAGTCTTGAGCACCATAGTATAATTCGTTCTTATGTTTGTTTAGTTATTTATTCTTGTACTAAGTTAATCAACTCTATTTCATGCTGCAAAATCCTATTTATTCGTAAGTGTGAGCTTTACTTGCTCGGAGTGGTGTGATGTACCATCTCCTAATTTCTTGAACCGCTTATTAATCTAATACAATTTTGTTATTGATTTTCAAACAAACAAACAAAAAAAAACAATGTTCATCAAATCGTACGGTACATGTAATTAATGGAAAGAATATAACTTTATCATATAAACAGTACTGCACCATAAAAATTTAGAGGAAATCTAATTTAAAATTTCAAGAAATCCCAGGCATAAATATCAAATATGAAGCATAAGAATCGAGGTCAACTTTTGATGCAGTAATATGATAAATGAAAGGTCCGGATTGGGCGATGGAAAGGAGAGTGTACGGAAAGAGCTACAACCTCGCCCACAGTTTTATCATTTCCATAAAGTATTCCTCAGTTCCATTTCCAAATATGCATGCTTCTGAGCAACAAAAAGGTTCCTCAGAAGATGACTCAAAATAATAAAGCTTGTATATTAGGGAGTTGAGTATTCTGCATCTCCACCAAAACCTAAGCCTATATATTCGTTAAAGAAACTTTGTTTGCCACAAATTTTATTTTAGATATATGCTTTGTAGGCTACAATGCAGCTTTAATTTAAAAACAGATTCAATCATATATACCACTTAATATATTTATTCTGAGGCATCATTATTTTACTGCATACACTGTAAAAAAAACTACTTGGGTGAAGACTCAAAACAAATTCAATGATTTAGTTATTGTTGGGTTGAAAACGTTTGTGTTTTTTTCTGCTTGTCTCCATTATTGTCCATTCGTACATCTTCACTCACTGCAACTCTCTCTCTCTCTCTTTCTCTTTCTCTATTGCAAGAAAGATGGCACTTTCATCTTTTCTCTAATACGGAGTATTTCTTAATTCATTCACGGTTTTTAGCTTTCTGGGTATCCGGAAAAGTATTCAAAAAAGTGACCTTTTTTTTGTGTTAAAGATTCAAGCTTTGGGTCTGGGATTCTCTGTGCTTCTTGATATTGTGGAGTTGTGGTTTCAAGGATGACTGTGGAGGAAACTAGGAGGAATATGGGGGTTGATAGGGAAAATTACCACAATTTCCCAGTGGGTATGAGAGTTCTTGCTGTTGATGATGATCCTATTTGCTTGAAATTATTGGAAGGCCTGCTTAGAAAATGCCAGTATCATGGTATGTTTCTTCTCCTTTTTTTTTTTTACTAAAGTTTCCTATTTTCAGCTCTTCTGTTCCATTAAGATTTTGTTTTCCTATTCCTTATGTTTCCTTGCCATGACTGAATTATAGTTCAAAGGAAAATTGGGTTCAAACATTCATATAGGGAGGGGGAGGGCTAACTAATTATGTATTTGTGTGGTTGTTCATTTAAACTGCTGCAGGCTGAATCCAAACCCCAAATTTCCCTGTTTCTTGCTTGATCTCAAGTGCTTATTATGGTTCTTTATGATACCCAGGAAGTTTAAAAGATTTGATCTTTTGAATCTTCTTAGCATACAAAACTTTGGTTTTCTCAATTCTTTAAGCTGCTGATCTTTTGAAGTTGTCTTTAGGAATCATATGCTGTTTTGGCTTGATGTTTGTTGTCATGTTTTCACTTCGGGTTTCTTCGCAGTAACTACAACGAGTCAAGCAAGAATGGCACTGAAGATGTTGAGAGAAAACAAAGACCGATTCGACCTGGTAATCAGTGATGTTCATATGCCTGATATGGATGGTTTTAAACTGCTTGAACTCGTGGGGCTTGAGATGGACCTTCCAGTCATCAGTAAGCATTTCTTCGGGCCAAATGGGATCTAATTCTGTATTTTCTAACATATTCAGGTTTATGGTTTTGAGGTTGTGTCATGAAAGTTTAATAACTTTGAATTTTTTCTCAGTGCTGTCAGCTAATAGTGATACCAAGCTTGTAATGAAGGGAGTAACTCATGGTGCTTGTGACTATTTGGTGAAACCTGTGCGAATCGAGGAGCTGAGGAACATCTGGCAACATGTAATCAGGAAATCCAAGGGCCAAAACAAGTTTGATGATCAAGACAATGGTTATCGAGGTGGGCAGGGGTTCCCACTGACAGGTTCCGGGGAACAGAATGCATTACTCAACAAGAAAAGGAAGGATGAAGAGGACGAGACTAATGAGAACGAAGACCCATCCACCCAAAAAAAGCCTCGTGTGGTTTGGTCTATAGAACTTCACAGGAAGTTTGTTGCAGCTGTTAACCAGTTGGGCATTGAAAGTGAGTTTCTTGACTTCTCAGAATTAAAACATTCTTGTATTCACAAACTTCTTGTTCTTCAAATGCAGAAGCTGTTCCTAAAAGGATTCTTGAACTGATGAATGTTGAAGGGCTTTCTCGTGAAAATGTGGCAAGCCATCTACAGGTACTATCTTCTTGTAAAAGTATTCTTATCTGACCCCAAACAGGCTTCAGATTGATCATAACTTATCATTAACAAGCAAGAAATTGTTTTTAATAGAACCAAGATATTGAGTTGCAGAAATATAGGCTTTACTTGAAAAGAATCAGTTCAGTTGCAACCCAGCAGGCGAACATGGTGGCTGCTTTAAGGGGTAAAGACTCGGCTTTCATGAGAATGGCTTCACTAGACGGGCTTGGAGATTTTCAATCATTGGGTGGACCTGGAAGATTTAATCATACTACACTGTCTACATATACACCTGCTGACATGCTCGGTAGACTAAGTAGTGCCACTGGTATAAGTATTCGCAACCTTAGTGCACACAATCACGCCCAGAATTTGGAGAACTCCCTTGGTTCTGATGGGAATTTGAACCCAAACATTTCGCTTTCAAGCCATAATGCTGCTAGTTTGTTTCAAGGAATTCCATCGCCTTTAGCTGTACAGGAGCTGAATCCTTTGGAAAATTCTCGGGCGCTTACTGCATTTTCAGATTCTGGATCTGTTATTGGTAGCTCAACGAATCCTATCATGCTTCAAGGAAGCCCCAAGCAAGAGCTAATCGGGGGAGGATTTGGGAACCAACATTCTCTCAACATGGCTTCTTTAAGTTCTGAACTTTATAACACTGGTGTCAATAGTTCCTCCAATTTTCTTGGCCATGGCAGATGTAGTGAGAATTGGCAGGCTTCTATTCAAGTTTCAGAATTCCAGTCTGGCTCTTACCCATTAACCGAAACATTCAGTCATAGCCAGTTGCCTCAAAATTGCGAGAGAGAACACGATTTACATAGCAGCCCTGTTGCTTGTACAACATTTGAAGATTCAAGAGAAGCCCAAGTACCTAGGCAACAGAATCAGAACTCAAATGACATTTTCAGAAACTTGAGCTCTCATGTTCCTGGTAATGGTATGACACCTTCTTTAAGCCAGGGTATGTACCAAAAGAGTGGCAACTTAAATACAAGGATGAATTGATCATTTTTTATGCGTGGGTCAAATGCAGGATCTTTGGTTCTCTTTCACCAAAATGGGAATGAAATGGCAACCCCAAACCCCAGGACAAGATCCAACGAAGATAACCTTTTGGAGTCCACAAAGACACATGGGGCATTTGTATCTCAAGGCTTTGACGCGCTGGATGATCTAATGAATGCAGTGATTAAGCAGGTATGCCATACAGTAACATCTCATACTTAATGGTCTTAGCACATAGATATATATGTATTAACTACTTGGATTAGTATAAGAAAACAAAAAGAAGAATACAAAGATTCAATTTTGATGCAGGAAGAAGATAATAGAGGCACGTTGGATGGGGAATTTGGATTTGGTGCTTACCCATTTGGTTCTTGTATTTGAGGATGGATTTCAGAAGGACAACATCCATCTGGCTGCTGTGTATCTTTGGTCTATCAAGTTAGAAGACTAGAATCTGTAATGATGTTTAGCTTTCTCCTCTTTAACTGTTGTGCTAGCTAGTATCCCACTTTATGTACTGCTTTGTTGATTTGTTAATGGAAACTTCTTTTTTTCTTATTAATTTCTCATTCTTTAATTTGTTGCTTAGTTTTCGTTGGAGATTCAGCCGTTCTTGATGAGTGATTGTATGGGTGTTTGTTGGTCGAGATAGATTTGTTCTTGTAGGAATTGAACTTTTTGTTTTAAAGCTTTCACTTTTCAAACTAACTTGATTGGTGCGAGTGATTGTGGATTATTGATGTTGTACACGCTTGCATAATAAATGTGAGTTTTTCTTGTCACTGAAAAAAGTCATGGCAATTTAACCAGCTTGGTTGGCACGAGTGGCTGTGCACTCTCATCCTTTAAAAGAGGTGTCGGGAAGTTTGAACCTCCTCTCTTATAAAAAATCAATTTGGCCAGAATTTTGCAGCAAATTATTGTGTGGACCATAACAAAAAGTACATTATTTGTGTACTAAATGTACATTATACAATATAATGCACACTCAGTACATCCCATGAATACAATGTCCATTTTTAATATATTAAAAGTACATTATTTTTGTACTAAATGTACATTATTTTACAAAATAAGAAATATGGTTCACACAGATGGTCTACACAATAATGATCGAAACTTTACACCTTAATTGAGTCGCCCCGGTACGAATGAAGATTAGTTTGAGCATGATACGAGTTTAATGATTCTCCTACACTTAAGGTCTGCTCAGAACACCTCATGGTTTGACAAAAAAAAAAAAAAAAAGTCATGACAATTTGTGTAAATACAGAAAAAGTGGGGTACGTTTGGAATTTCCGACAGAAAAGAGGGTGATAGTATGAATATGAATATTACAGGGGAGAGCGGGTATAATTAGCGGATAAAATCTGTTCCGGGCAAGCTGTCCAAATTCATCTGTTGCCGTCAAAGAACATTGTGTAATAATGAATTAATGATATGGTAACTTTCATCTTTTTTTATCATAAACCGAAATTCAATTTTTTTAAAAAAGCTTAAAATCCAGGATTATATTCTAAAAGCATCGGATTCATTATAGATAGACACACAGAGTGTTTTTAGAGAGAGAGAGAGAGAGAGAGAGAGAGAGAGAGAGAGAGAGAGAGAGGGCGGGGGGACATGAAGATCACGGCGTTGTTGGTGGTGAAATGCACTCCGGAAGGATCGGATCCGGTGATCCTAGCTAACGCATCGGACGTCAGCCATTTTGGATACTTCCAGAGACCCAGCGTTAGGGAATTCATCATATTCGTCGGTCGGACCGTCGCCAGACGCACCCCTCCCGGCCAACGCCAATCCGTCCAGCACGAAGGTACCTATCCTCGATCCTCTGTTCTTTTTCCGTTTTCTGTTTTTCTTCCAAGAAACATGGAACTAGTCAGTTTAATTTTCTTTTGTTTATCTTTGTTATGGCTGTTTTTTCATCATTCCTATCCGGCCACACGAATTTATTGTGTGCAATAAGATCTGTTATGAAATTGCCAAGGCGAATTATGCAATTAGGTCTATTGCTGGTTTTATCATGAATTGTATAGCGGATGTCGTTTATACTCAATGAATTTGGTTGTAGAATCCAGGTGGTTATCAATTTTTAATTTGTATTGAACTGTAAATTGTAGAATTAAGTCTCTTTAGTGTTTTGGAGGTGTTGTTTTTGACTGATCTGCTTGTTAAATTTTGATGTTTCATCAAAATATTGTCTTGGACTTAGCAGAGTAGAGTTCATCATTGATAGTATCATTTAGTCTGTCAGTTGCATAGCATGGTCCATTGAGCAGTAAACTGCAGCCCCATTCCTGATCCACTAGCCTAGGTGTTCCATTTGATAGGTTATAAGTAGCTCTTGGTTATAGGTTGTTTCCTATGTCGCCTAATCTGTTTCGTGCATTATTGAATTGCTATTGGCTTAGGTTGTAAGGGCTGCATGACTTCCCTTTAAGCTGATTGGTTTTTGTAAATCTTTGGATATCCAATTTGTCTCTTTCTTGCTTCTTCACTGTTTTTTTTTTTTTTTTTTTTTTTTTTTTTTTTAATTTAAATCCACATTTGAAATTTTGAATGCCTAAATATGTGATCCCTCTATCTGTTTTTCCCTTTTCTGAAGGTTTAAGTTAACAGATGGATGAAATCAATTTATTTTGGAATGATATCACGTGATTCACAGAAAGCTAACATTTACTTTTTTAATGCAATAGAGTACAAGGTGCATTCATATAACCGTAATGGCTTATGTGCATTGGGTTTTATGGATGATCCCTACCCGGTTCGAAGTGCTTTTTCACTGCTAAATCAGGTAATATATTTTCTATTGCTGATTTTTGTGAGAGGTTTCATTTCATCAAGTGCTGAATTGCTGATTTTTATGTGCACTTTTTATATTTATAGGTCATGGATGAGTACCTAAAAATTTTTGGTGAGACATGGAGATCTGCTCAATCTGATAGTACTCAAAGTCAACAATGGCCTTATTTATTTGAAGCTCTAAATAAATTTCAGGTGTCTAGTTAGTTCATTTTTCTTATTACCAGATTAATGTAATTAGTGATAACTAATTTCATCTTGAACCCTTTGCTTGATTAATTTAGATCACTTGCTGATAAGCTTAAGTTCCTTTCCTCTCTTAATTTTTCAGGATCCTGCGGAAGCTGACAAGCTGTTGAAAATTCAAAGGGAGTTGGATGAAACAAAAATTATTCTTGTAAGTAATGTGCTGTAATTTTATTTTCTTTCTCATTTACAATCTATGTCCTAGTTGATCTGTAATGCTTTCTGTTGGTTTCTTACAAGCTAACTGTTAACCTATCAGTTCTCTGTGATGCTAGGAAGGGCTGACATTAGTTACGTTGTGTTCTTTTCTGATTGACACAGTTATTGTTATTAGAGGAAATTCATGTTACAGAACAACTAGAAATGCTTTTGGTATTTGAGTTTTATTTTGTCTGATAAAATTGAATATTGCAGCATATTTTGACAAAGCAGAAGCTCTTCCCCACCCCCTTGCCTTTTTAATTGTAAGAATGAGTTAATACCACATCATTTTTATGTTATATTGCATATTAGAGAAGCTGTAGGAAGTGAATCTTCTTCCCATCTCATATGCATATTGGAGAACCAATATTTACATTGAAAGTAAAATTATCTTGAACTACAAGTACTAGGAGTTACACAGTGCGAGTACCAGTGATAAATGATAATACTTTCAGGACATTTGAAAAATATTACTTGAAGATACTTTGACTTGAAACTTCTTGGAAGTGGCTATTATGATACTCCAATGTTTTTAGGGTTGGCTCTTGGCTGTTAGCCTAGGTGCATGGCAAAAATTGATGTTTCGGTGTTTGTCTTTTTGATGTGTGCGAGTGTGGCTAGCATATTAATAGCAGTGTGAATTTCCAACTTTTCATGTATGGTACTTGCATTTTTGAATTTGCTCTGGGGGCTCAATTAGTTTTGTATCAGTATAATCATTTCAACCATATTACTAGGCAATTTAAGCTTTCATAAATATCATGAATCTGTCCACACTTGTTTATTTGATTGTCTGCTACGCCTATATTATTAGTATACTTGTTGAGTTCCTTAATCTTAGCAGAGTTGGCATTTCTTTCTTATTTCAGAAAGTTGTGGCACCTTTATCAAATTACCTAGATTTTTTTAAAATTTTTTTTTTTATATTAGTTTCCATGGTCATCTAAGTGACTCATACCTTGAGGGAGTTGAGGCTAGTTTGTTATTGGATTCATAAGTGCACATGCACATTCAACTTTCTCATCATGTTATATAAGTCTCCATGAACAAATTGGCAATGAGTAATGACTTGTTCTTTTGCCTTCAGCACAAGACAATTGACAGTGTTCTAGAACGTGGTGAGAAGCTTGACAGTTTGGTTGAGAAGAGTTCAGATCTCAGTGCAGCTTCACAGGTATTAATGTCATTCAATTATACTCCGTAGTTGTAATAGATTTTTGTTTTCATTACCAATAATCTTAAACATTGGAATAGGTGGTATACTCTTGAAGTGTTAAAAGAATGCAGCATTTGTACAAAGTGATATTCAACTTCTTTAGATTCTTCCATGGGATAAGATTATTTATTATCATTTCCTCAAGTAAATGTTATTAGGAAGACTAATGATGTTAAAGTGTTTATTGTGACAGATGTTTTACAAGCAGGCAAAGAAAACAAACCAATGCTGTACAATTTTATAAACAAATGGGGTACTGTGAAGTGGAGGGGGGTAATGATGTTCCACAGAATGGAGTTGTGTTAGTGTTAAGTATCAAGTCTCACAAATTGTGTTTATACATAATCAATCCGTCTTGTACGTTGTCTGTGTGCTTGAATTCATTTGATTGGCTTGTAATGGCAAAGATACATTAACTGGTATTGACACATTAAAATTGTTACTGTCATTTTCTATTCTACATAGTACATAGAAAGGCTATTTGGAATAATATTTTTGCCTGTGTTCAGTTTTGAACACATAAAACAAAATCCATAATTGGTGCCTATTATTATAGAGTATAAGTGGGGAGTTAAATCAGGCTCAGGTTTGCTATCAGGATCCATGGCTGCAAGAGAATTAACTGCCTTGCCAAAGATACAGAAAGAGATCTTCATAGCCTGTCTTTTATTAATTGATTGAAAATAATATGTTAGGCAAGTATGCAAGATATATCATGGGTTCCTTCTGGAATTTGAAGTTGGAGAAAGTAGTCATGAACAACAGATACTACATTGTAAAAGAATCACCAATACTCAAAAAAGTTTTCAAGATCATCATCGTCGTCTTAATGAAATGAAGCAAGGGCTGTTGATAATTTCCTTTTATAATTCGGGAAATAAAAAGAGAGAGAGAGAGGGAGCAACCACCCTTAAGACTCCTCCCTTATCTCTCCTCAAAGCTAAATTCATGAAAATTGCAGTAATTAAACCTAGAAATCGAAAATGGAGGCTCAGATCTGTGGAAGAAGATCGAGATCGGTAGGAGAGAATGCAACACCGCCATGGCTGCAAACACAGCAGTTGCGAGGGAGGTGCCGTCTGCGTGTTGCCGAGCCAAGATACGGGTCGGGTCATCTCAACACCAGATCATCGATCCATAAGCTCAGGAGAAACACAACGGAAGGAACAAAAATATCATCATCGCCCCCTTTCAAACACACACACACACGTACACCAAGGTGACACGGTTCCACAGCATAATTTCCCAACATACAACCACCGCCGCCACCACCACTCCCACCCCCACCCGCAGCGACGTAAAGCCGCCGCAAATATTTCAAAGGGGGGAGTAAAAAAGAAAAAGAAAAAGAAGAGGATCGGAGAAAACGTTGCGTATTCAAGGACCATTTTGGTATTAACTCTGTATATATATATATATATATATGTACGTATAACCGATATAGAGAGAGAGACAGAGACAGGTTCATGGTAACAACAACAGATCTCAGCTCATCAGCTCATCATCGTTTCCTGGAAAGGAACATGAAAAAAGAGGGCTGTTGGTTGAAGAGAGAGAGAGAGATAGAGAAATCATAGGCCGGCGGAGAGGGGCAACCACCCTCACGGAAAATCCCATCCACTCCCGCAAGCCTCATTTTCTTCTCCTGAGCTTTTCTTCCCCCTTTCCGCCTCCCTACACTCCCCCCTTTATAGATCAATTTGAGGGTTTATTCGTCATTTTGCATACGGCTTCTCTTTCCTTATCTGGGCAATTATATTTTACACTTTATTACGTAGTATATTATATTAAAAAAATAAAAATCTCGGCTGATATAGAAAAAAACTTTAACAATGAATGAATTACTTAATAAGATTATTATCCATGAATTTCTGTGTCATATTCTCCGTAAATTTCTCCATATTATTATTCTTTTTCTTATAATACTAATAATAATCTGTCATATAATATTATTCTTGTAATCTATCGCACAAGCAGTGATTGGTGATATTTTATTGCTTTTTGTTGCATTGCATGAATACTATTAGTATTACATCCATACAAAATTAGATTCATAATAAAAGGTAATATTAGATGGAAGCATACAATTTTTATCCACTCATTTCCTTATTCATGTACACTTTGAAATAGAAACCCTGCTGGCTTTATAGACATCAATAATATACATCCACACCAAACCAAAATGTATATATTTTCATGAATTATAATTATAATTACAATTACAGTTAAAACAAAATCAAATCAGCAAAATGGAACGCCTCAAGCCAGATCAATAAACTCAAGTGAAACATAATTATATATATATATATATATATTTTTTTTTTCCTTTCAAAAAAAAAAACATCACTGCTCCCTTTTAACAATGCCACTACCACTTATACTGTGCTGCTGCTGCTGCCACCTACACCTGCGTAGAAAGATTTTGGCAAGTAGCATTTTCCTGATTTTAGCTCTGACATAAATAAAAACAAGAGACAGAGAGAATGAAATATGCTTATGAACAACTCAGATCATTACTAATGAATTTGGGCCTCAGATTTTAGGACCTAATTGGGCAAAAGAGAACATGAACCACACCATGGCTGCAAAATCCGAGTTTGCCCTGCCAAAATATGGGTAGGGATGACTCCATTGCCCAAATTAGTGTTTTCCCATAGAAAGGAATAATCATCATCACCGCCCCTATCATGTAGGGCAAATTATTACTGTGGACTCTGATCCATGTTTGGCAAATTATACTGTGGACTCTGATCCAAAAGGCCGTTTAATAGTGTCCCTGGAATACAATCTCACAACTCTCCAATGCAACCTAAGATGGCAGGTTTGGAGGGGGAGAGGAAGTAACATGGAACAATATTAAGGCCGGTTTGGTCAAGAATGCTTAAAGGGCTGTTTGGGTTACTGAAATGAAAGTAAAGAAATCATCGAGGGAGCAGAGGGGCAACCACCCTGTTACAAGAAATCCCAATCTCTCTGCAAAGCCTCTCATTGTTTACTCCCTGGGCTAACCAGATTCTCAAACAAAAGTTGAAATAATAAGGTTCAATACCGGAATTTGGGGCTCAGATCTTGAAGCTACTCGGGCAAGAAGACCGACCGACCACGCCATGGCTGCGAAATCCAAAGTTGCAAGCATAAGTCGCCATCCAAGGTGCCCTGCCAAGATACGGGTCAGGTCGACTTGATGCCCGAATCAAAGTTAGCCCAGAGAATTGCATAATCATCATCATCTTCACCGCCCCTTTCGTGTACCGGAAACTCCACAATGTGCTAAAAAAAATAGCATCTATGGATCATATATTGGCAACAAAGATTTATAACTACCCTGTTAGGGAAGAACATTGAAAAGTGTAATCAGAAGAGGAGCGTCTGGTTTTTGGTTCATGTTGTTACTTTGATTAAAGGGCTGTTTGGGTTATTGATACGAGAATGGAGAAATCATCGGGTGAGCAGAGAGGGGCAACTACCCTCCGAAAGAAAATCCTAAACTCTCTGCAAACCCTCATTTCTTAGTGGTAGTCGTGGAGGGGTCTCCACTCTGTACTCTAAATTTGAATGGAGCATACAAGGGTAGGTATAGATTCCTTTCACAAGCATCATCTTTCAATCCAAAACTATTGCCAAAAAAAACAAAAAAAGAATTCCAACCCAATACCTGCAAAAGCTCACAGCTAAAATGTCGGTAAATCCACATTCTTTATGCAGAAGCTTGAAGTAAAATAGAAATTGCACATTATGAACAAATACTACATTTGTAACAGAGTCAATAGTACTAAAAAAAATAGAAATTGCACTTTTGAAAAAAGTGTCAGCAGTACTTTTGAGGCTCAGATCAATGTTTTAATGGGGATAGAGAGAAGCCCACGCCGCCATGGCTGCAAATAACCGGTATGTTCCGGATTGCCCTGCCAAGATGCGGGTTGGATCAGCTCTGTTGGGCAGAGGCCGGTAAAGGGCCAAGTCCAGCGCCCAACGTCTCAAAAATGTGTGGCGGTATAAGGAAATAAAGTTGCGCCTTTGCAAATAGCTATAGCTTTTGGTGTAAGTGGTAAGCGCTTGATCCTAACAAGCTCAACTACCCAAATCAGCAGCCCAGAAAGGAAAACAGAAACAGAACAATATCATCATAGCCTCGCTAAAAGAAGGAATCACTGTTGAATATAAGTACTAATAACACTAACATATATGAGTAGAAACTAAAGGATACAAAATCAGCATAAGAGAACTTACACAAGCACACCACCATGAAATCAAACGTATTTTAACATCATTTCCTTTTTCATGTGCACTTTGAAATAGAAACCCTGGCTTCATAGACATCAATATACATCAACATAAAATAAAAAAAGTATAATATTACCATTAATTATAATTACAGTTAAAACAA